TATTAAAAAAAATCATCACTAGTGCGGTTCTGAAGAACAAAGACTAGGACTGGGACAAAGGAAAGTTTTACTTTCACTTCATTCCCACGTCTTCTCTTTCTTATTCTGCTCCACTCACTTTATTCCTTTCCCTGTTTTGTCTGAAAGAGGGGAATTTTTTTCAGAATTAACTGTCTTGAGCATTTACCCATAAATTTATTTTATATTTGTATTTCCCCGATGATAGATTTTTGTTAAATAATGACTGACATTAATTAATTTAGTTAGTTAAGTAAGGAACGTAACCAAATGGAGTGAAAGTTAGCTCTTCAACTATTTATTGGGATATTGGGATAAAATACGAAAATTACCCTTTTTTGAATTTGTTCTATATTGTCAGTACGTATACAGGAGCTGCAAAATTAGGCATCCCTGCCAAAAAAATTGTACTCGCGGACTCGTTTTGGACTAGCCTGAACCTAAGCATGAGATTCTTGATTTTTGTTAGCCAGTAAAATGAGAAGTCTTGTATTTAACAAAATTAACAATCGCATACAAAAGTGCAAAGCATTAGAAAGTTGCTTAGGTTTCTGATGCATAATCTTTTATAGAAAATATGCCAAAATGGACGGAAGTTCTTTCGTTGCACGCTATCGATCCGGACAGTCCAGAAATGCCAGTGAAATATAACATCATTGACGGTGACCAATTTGGCTCCTTCACTATTGACGCCAAAGGTGGGTAAAAATTTATTCTTTTCTGGCCTTTGCAGTGCTAAATTAACTTATCTGCCTCATTAAATAGAAGAGTAATGAAGCATTGTAAAGTAATAAAAACTTCATTGTCACCTAAGCCTTCGTTTATCTTCTTTGTACGAGCGAGTTTTGGATACAATTTATCTTGAGAGCAAGAATGTGGGGAATACAAGTAAAAAGGAATTGAAAGATGCATAGTTTCGGAAACACTGTGATAGTCTCATGAAGAAAAGTAGAAAAAATGGTCTGGCAGGATGAACTGGAGTGCTGTAGGCCGGAAAA